AAAAAAAACATTTGAGAGTTCCTTATTCTTTTTTCCTCTTACTTGAATTTTCTTTAATTTATCCTACATAGAATAATTTGACAATAATTTCAAAGTTTCACATTCAAATGATGGTGCAATTAACCAAAAAGCTGAAATTGGTGGCAGAAGTAAAACTCTAGGGTAGGGATAACTCAGTTTTGTATTAAAATAAATTGGGACTTATACAAAAAACATAAAAAAAGAAAACAAAAAGAATATGCATTAATCGAGATTATTCTGTCCACGATTCTCCACTTTTCACCACCCCTTGGTGTCACCACCCCCTTTTTTTCTAATTTGTTCTTTTTCTTTTCTTCTTTTTATTTCTTTTTGCATTCCTCTTTTACTCGACGTTGTTTTTAAATGGGTCGACCGACAAGCAAGCAAGCAAACAGCACGTGGAATCTCGTTTCGAGGTTATACCTGGTAGACTAGTAGCAGGAGGAAGAGGAGGAGGAGGAGAAGGAGGAGGTGGAGGTTGAGGTGGGGGTGGTGAAGTTACCTACGGTGCGCAATGTGCACCCAGTTCAATTCGGAAAAAAACTTTCGAGTGCCCTCTCTCGTCCGCGTATTTTCACTCAGATTCGAACGATCGAGTTAATTAAAAAACGTCAGACAGCAGAGGGAAAGAGCAACCAGGGGATAAAAAGGGTTGGTTGAGGGAACAAAAAAGTAGGAGAGAGAGGGGGTGACAGACAGAAAGAGAATGTGAAAAAGAAAGAGAAAGAGAAAGAAAATGAATTCTATTTTACTGCAATTTTTCTTCATCTTTTGTTTATAGCCCACTCTTCTCTTTTTTTTATTTTATTTTATTTATTCAAATTATAATCTTGTCGTCCGTTAATTTCCTACAATTGGGTTGTGTATATTTAAACGAATGATTTTTCGTGGGGTTTAATCTACAAAATGAGTGATTTTTCGTCTCTATGGTGTTTCGTTATTTAAAATATCTTTATATATCTTAAAATAATTTTAAAATATCTTAAAATATATTTTATAAAATATATATGGTGTTTTTGTTATTTAAAATACTTTTCTTTTCTTCTTCTATTTATTTATTTTATTTTATTTTATTTATTTCTTTCACTCAAATTATAATTCTGTTTTTGGTTAAGTTTCTAAAACGGGGGTTTCCTATACGTAAAACCAGTGATTTTTCGTCCCTATGGTGTTTTTGTTATTTAAAATACTTTTTTTTTCTTCTTCTATTTATTTATTTTATTTTATTTTATTTATTTCTTTCACTCAAATTATAATTCTGTTTTTGGTTAAGTTTCTAAAACGGGGGTTTCCTATACGTAAAACCAGTGATTTTTCGTCCCTATGGTGTTTTTGTTATTTAA